ACCCCACCCCACCCCACCCCACCCATCCCATCTCATCTCCTTCTTCTTCCCCAGTCGTCACCGTCGCCGGAGTAAAACCATCACAGTTGGGGCTCCTCTGCTACCTATCGCAAGCTAAAAAGGCATCCCCAAAACCCAAAATTTCCTCCCTTAAATCCATCTTCTCCTCTGCAAAATCAATCTACGGGTTCTTCTATACTTGCTTCCCCCTTCCAAAATCCCACGTCCCACCCTGTCTCTATCCCATTCCAACCCATAAAAAAATCAATTTCTTCTCCAACAAGGGTGTCCCTAAAAGTGCTAAATTTTACCGGCATGTCTAAAATTGAGCAATAATCAATAGGTTGAATGCTACAATCTGTATCCATAATCTTACATAAACCTAGCTGGTCATCGATCCCACCCTTACCAAACCGATGCCATATTGTTTTAGTTGATCTCGCTTATTCCAACCAAGTATTAACACCAATTCATTGAGCCAATTTGTTCAATCAAATACCTTAATTCCTTCCAATCTTGAGGATGCTTTTTCTGTTGAGAGCTCATCTCCCCAACTCATAAATCTGAACTTCTTAATCAATTCCAATAGCAGCAACAGAACATCCTATCCCCAGTTGACACGCCTTTTTCACCAAGAAACATAGATCTAATTTAATTGAACATTATGTTTAAGCTTAGCTATGGAGAAGAGGTTGAGGTGGAGGTGGAGGTGGAGGCGGAGGCGGAGGCGGAGGTGGGTGGAGACGGCTACGCGTAGATCGATGGGAGGTGGAGCGACAGCGATGGCGAGGGAGCTGAGGATGAGGTCTGTGAGGATATTCGTGGAGGATCTGGCAGCGACGAATCTGAAATTGGGTTGGGGGATTCATTTGGTTGAAGAGGTTCGGATTGATGGGGATTCATGAAGAGTAAAGTGATGATTGAATCGTGAGGGTTTGGAATCCAATGTGGTTGTGGTGCCGCCGACACAAACCTGACGGCGACGGTGGTTTGTGTCGGCGGTGGTGCCTGCACAGTGCTGACACTGTTGGCTGGGGAGAGAGTGTGTGTGTGTGTATTTTGTTTATTTATTTATTTTTGGGTTTTTAATTAATTTATTTAATGTTTTAATTGTAAAGTTACAATTTTGCCCTTTTCAATTTTGTCAAAATGAGTCAAAGTTCACTATTTTGGTCAAACTAACGATCAAATTGATGGAAACCATCCATTTGGACCTCAACCGCATATTTATTAAAAGTTTGGGACCTTCGCTGGCACAAATCAAAGGTTAGGATAAAGTGCGCAAAAATTTGAAAGGGTTAGACCGTTGCTGCAATTATCCCTTTATATAATGTGGCTATATATATTGTAAACTCCATACATAAGTAAATACAATAAAAACTTTCTTCTCATGTGAATGTAGGTTTGCCACAATGGCACCGAACCACGTAAATTCTTGTGTTTTTCTTTATTAGTTTTGTTCTTTATTGAATTCTTCAATTTAGCTGTTAATACACTTTTGATGTGAAGAATGGAAAGGAAAACTAGAGCATAATCCCGAACTCACATGCTTTAGGTTTCAGGTTCGAGGTTCCAAAGCAAAGGTTTAGCAAACTAGAATATTAGGTTTAAGAATCAAAATGTTGAAATTGAAAATGCAAAGAATTTTCAGGAAATTATGAATATTTATGTACAAGACCTTAAGGAAATTTACATAAACCTATGATTGTTGAAGAATGTAAACCAAAATCATTTGATAGATAAAAGATAGAGGTAAGTTAACATACATTAAATGTAATTGAAAACATAGTATCTTCATTTTTTCCCTTTTTAATCAAACCACTAAAAATAAAAATAGTTATTATTGCTATAAATAAAAATAAAAACTTAGAAAGGAGACATATGCCCTATCCTCTAGCTACAAGATTACATGAAAGTTTTACCAGTTTAGATAATGGGAAGTTAGAGAGTAAGGAAAACCATTTCTACATCTGATATTTCATTTTTATGTTCATGTCACGGTACGTCTAATCATATACTTAGTCAATTCTCCTAACTATCCTACTTGTTCACCTTCAAATAAGCCACCGTTGGTGGAAAACAATTATCAGAAATGTCATAGTCTTTAATAAGTGTAGTTTCTACACTTATTCGAGGTCATAAATGGTGATATTTTACTTTTCTTTAGATAAAATATTAACTAACTCGTGTTATATTTCATTTTGTAGGTAAAATTCAACGTTTGATAAAGAATTGAAGAAAAAATGCAAAGATAGTGAAAAATGGCTCAATTGTATCAAATACAAAGTTTGATGGCCAAATTGTAAATACTCAATAGTTGATTCGGGCCACAAGATGATATTTCGAAGACTGTTAGGAGACGATTGGATGGAATTAGAACTAAAAAAAATGAAATATAATCAAAATCAATTTCTAATCGCAAATGTTATATTCAGAATTTTTAGCCAATGATTGAGACCCATTTTTGACATAGCAAACGTTCGAATTAGAAAAATTATATATCTCGCAAAGTTGTAGTCCTTTGAGTTAAATTTTCAACAAACTTTGAATTGCCTCAATCTAATATTGAAAGAAAACATTATGACTAAAATACTAACTACTGTGTAGAGACAAAAAAATTCGCGGGCGAAGGAAACTGTGTAATTTAATTATAAGAATGTTAGGCTAAGTTTTTCATTGTATTGGATGAATGATGAACCCTATTGCTTATTTGTTTTAATTTGAGACAATTAATTTAGTACCTCTTGATTTTTCTTGATTGGTTTTGCATTCCCATTAAATTATTTGATTATTTGATTATCAATTAGATAGTAAGTTGCTTGTTGTAATGTAAGAATACTCCTAATAAGTTTAGAACGTGGTAAAATAAAAAATTGGGCAATATGTATTATGAATAATATTTATGGCATGCGCAATCATGTGTGATAAACAATGTGAATCAATGCATGTTTTTTTTTATATGAATTCGGACTAGAAAAATGATCGGGTCGTGTTAAACATATATTTAATATATTTTGAAAAAGAATATTGAATAAAATCAGGTTATCAATTGTCATTAACATTAGAAGATAATAATACTTTTTATGTGTTGTTTGAAAAAGAATATTGAATAATAGTGGATTATCGATTGTCTTGAATGTTTGAATTTACTATATTACAAATTAAGAATTGAATTAAATGATAATAGGAGGATTCGCAATTCTAATATAAAACATTCACATATTAAATAAATAATTTATTTGCTTTGTTAGTTTATAATTGATATAGAAAATATACAAATCATTTCTTTTGATATCACCACACTTTGAATTCAATACTAGCTATTGAACTACAAATTAGATCTTATTTCTCATGGGAACGATATCCTTATCTCACAAATTTTATTACTTGTACAACGATCTCGTACGGTTGCCACGCGAACAAATTTTTGGTGCCGTTGCCGAAGAATAACTAATTTAATTTTAGTTCAATAATTTATGTTAAATTCAATTTTTATTTTATTTTATTTATTTATTATTATTGATTTTGGTTACTTACCCTGATCTCTATTATTTGATATTCTATCCAGGTGCCGTTCATCAATGCATCAAAGCTTCTGACGTTGGCATGGTAAAAAGATTTTTGCAAGGAATCATCTCGACATGGCCGACGCGGAAGTAGCTATCAATAGTGAATTCTGCTCNATTGTGAATTCTGCTCTGAGGTGCATTATACTGGTAGCATGAATACATGCACTGAACCCTTTCTGCTCAAAAATTAAAGTAATTTTTTTCTACTTTTTAATTTTTAGATAAATAAAAAAATTTTATTAACAAATAACCTATTTAAAATGCACCTTTTGATATCTAATCTAACTCAAAACTTAAATCTTAAATCTGAAAAATAGGAACAGGACCCCTCTATATAGTTCAATTTTTCTCTAGAATTAATATATTCTCTACTGAAAAGCCAAATTAGTTTTTGAATGAACCGTAACACGCACATCACTACTCAAATAATGATTTGTGAATAAATGTATGCAAGTTGGTGAGAATTAAGTTGTCCACCACGAAAAATATGCCATGTCCAAACTTGTGATATTGAATGTAATTGAACCTTTCCTTTCTCGACAATAATTTAGTCCTAACAATTTTCTGTCAAAAAATAGTTTTTGTCTTTATCATATGTTATGTCTGATTAAGATATAGGGCGTAATATTACCTGAACAATTTTATTTTGACATTTGGATCCACTTAACATATGCAGGGAGAAATTCTTAGGTGTATTAATTTGGTGAAGAAAATTGAATTAAGATCAATAGCGAACGAGATATCAAGTATGTTTCGTACATCGCATTGAATAATAGTGGATAAATAAGTTTATAACTTAGTTTTTTTTAATATTCTTCGGTATTATTTAATCCACATACAAAATATTTTATCGAGATTTCACTTGATTTGAGATGAACGCATATAACTAGACCATGTACTCGCATGTAACATCGATGCATTTAAAAATCTAAATATCGTGTATCAATGTTAATAATGATGTTTAGAAGTATATACGTGACTTTTTAAGAAGTACTGCGGTAATAACTGTTTTAGTTCCCTTTCAATATAGTCTATCAATCATGACAATAGTCCTTGTATGCATTCGGTTGTCATCTTGAAAAGAAAATTAGAAGCCTCGTTTACTTCACTATTTAGTCTTTGGTAATCTCTATTTTATTCGATTTCCAATTAATTTAACCACTTTTTTTTTAAAGAAATAACTTTTAATATTTAGAATATAAATTTGATTTGATATCTTACCAAACTGGATTGACTACTGAGAAACTAATTCGAGTGTAATTATTATTTCTTCGTTGTATATCTAGTTTAAAAGATAAAGACGCATTTCTAATTCAGATACATTTGGTAAACCCTTGGCAATGACTAATTACGAATTAACATACTGTTTATTTCTTAAATGCATGTTTGGTTGTTGACAAAGCCTCCGTCTGTGTCACGTGACAGCATATTATTGGACAGTTTTAAACAAAATATTTTTTCCCACCCATAATTTTTTGAAAACAAAAGGGATGTCAAAAATCACGTGAGAGATGGAGTGTACATTTATCATTATTGTATCCAATTACAATATCATAAGTATTCTCAAAATCAAACAAGTACAATGATTTGTGAATAAATATATGGAATTTGGTGAGAATTAAGTTGCCCACCATGAAAAAAGTGATCGTTTAGCCATTGTTTGATTTTTATTATTTTCAAAATATATTTTTCTCTTTCTTCTTTTTAATCATACATTCTTTAATAAAGTAATATTACACTAAAACTCTAAACTTTTTCTTATTTTTTAACCACACATTCCTCATCAATCTACTATTTCAAAATACATTATTTGCCAAAAAATCACTATTACAAAACTCTCTCTCTTTTTATTGGTGTGAAAATAGAGCTCAATCCTAGGCTAAATATGACAAGAATAATAACATTCTCAACACTTCAAATCATAAGACAGATAGTGATGTTTTGTCCATCAATCTCTATTCTCCTTTCGCCCTTGAATTGCACTACAGTG